GTAGAGGTAGACCTAAAAAACTTGGTTAGAAAATATTAGAAATGATCTTTCTTTATTAGATTTAAATGAGAATTTGACTTTTAACCGAACACAATGGCGAAAAAGGATTCATGTAGCCGACCCCACATTGCGGGACAAAGGCTTGATGTTGTTGTATTAAATTAATTGAGCAAACAATTTAAATAATTTTAAAATACATTTAAAATTAATTAATGAGCCAAGAGTTTAATTTTAATTTATAATTTAAGCTTTAAATCAACTAACAAAGAAATTTAAAATGCAAGTAAAGAGTGGAGGGGAGAGCCACTCCGGTGCATTTTTAGTTAGCTCAATAAAACAAAATATATAATAGAAATCATTGCTTTCCATTATTAGACATTACTTACAACCAACACTAAAACTAAAACTCCTAAAAAAAACTAAGCAAAACATTAAATAGAAAGAAAAGTCCAAAATCCTAAATTAAACCCCTCTTCATAAGCTCCAACTCCTGGTAAACTTTGCAGCTACAAGCTCTAGCTACTGCATTTGCTAGCTAGGAACACCTGCAAATATGTAGACGAAAGTTAGCACAGGGTAAAACATAACTAGTACTGGTAAAATAAAACTAATACTGGTAAAATAGAACTGGTTCTAAAACAAGTAGGCACTAAAACAAACAAGTATTTGACAAACAAGTAGGTAAATCTTCTATTACAGGTAAAACTAGTGCTGAAAGAAAACTAGAACTATAGATGTAACAAAGCTACTACTGTAGGCAAGGCTAGTACTAAAGCAAAACTATTAAAAATGCTAGTACTTAAAGTAAATATGCTATTGTAGGTAAAACAAGATGCTAACGCTGCTGTTTAGATAGTGAAGTGCGTAAAACTAAGTCCTCATTAATCTAAGTCATATAGGTCACTTCTAATAGTAGTAAATCTTATTGGTAACTATTTCACTAAATAAATCTACTATGTGAATCATTGAGCACCTAAAATTCATTCGACAACTTCTAATAGTTATCATAAGTCCGATTTTTTTTTTATCGTAAGTTCGACTTTAATTAACATGTTAGGAGAAATCTTTTGGTAAAAGTAACCTAACTCTAAATCCACCTTTAGGTATCTTCCAAAGGAAGTTGTAAGACCTGATATTTGAGAGATTTTTTAGGGATTTTTGAACTCTCAGTTAAACTGTGGGCCACCTCTAATAGAGGCTGTTAAGACTCGCTACACAGGTTACTTCTAATAGAAGCATTAAGTCTCACTTAAATGTAAAATTACATGTTTATTAAAACCCTGCTAACCTAAACCTATGATTGACAACTTCTAATAGAAGTCGTAAAATCGACTTTAGGGGAAATCTTCAAGTAAAAGCAAATTAACCCTAAACCACCAATGGGCCACCTCTAATATAGTCCGTAAGTCCCACTTTAATCAGGATGTTAGGGAAAACTTTTCCAGAACAAATAATACGTACCTGGTAACACGAACTCCTTCTAAATGAAGCTGTAAGACCACTAAATGAGCTACTTCTAATATAAGCAGTAAGACCCAACCTTTTAAAATCTCAGGGCTACTTCCAAGGGAAGTCATAAGACTTGCTATTCGAGCTACTTCTAAACGAAGCCGTAAGACCCACCACACGAGCTACTTACACTGAAAGCCGTAAGTTTCGACCCAAATCCAAACATACCGGCAACTCCTAAAGGAACTGTCAGGCCCAACTTAAATCTAAACTACAGATAACTCCTAAGAGGAGCCACAAGTCCTAACCCAAATCAAATAACCTATTTCTATCCACTTCCGTTTACTCGGGATCTTTGAGAGGAGGCAACCCATGGATGCTAATCAAATTCCCTGGACAATACAATCAAAACAGTTGTTAGTGTTGGTAGACTGAAACCCATGATATACCCGGACGACGAAACCATGGGATCTTGGTCGAGTTTACCTCCATCCCCCACAACCAAAATTAAAACTGTTGCATGTCTAAATATTAATTCATCTTTAATTGAGAGTTCTCTTCTACGCGTTAGGAGATGTAATTAATTATGAGGGTTTGTCCTCATAGGAAGTGGGAGCTCAGAATTAAATGAACCCTGATGCCGGTCATTGGGGGAAATCTGGTTAATTTAAAATCCAATATACCTCGGGGAAAATGGGACCTAATGCTTGCGAAAGCGGGGTTTGTACTGTAACACATCATTCATTTTCCTGAGCGAACAAGAAGCTCTCTCTTGCTCTCTCTCGGTTGGAAGGAAGCACGCAGGGGACGCACGCCAAAGTACACAGGATGCCGAATGGAGGAAGGGGCTCTCATTTTTTCGGGCACGCAAGGAACAAAAGACTGAATGACCCTCTCTCACTTTCTGGTCTTTCAATATGCCCATAATAAAGCACTCTAAGAAGCTTTCCCTCCCTCGGCTTCCTCTATACATGAAACGAGGAATTGCAGCTTGATTTTCTCTGCAACTCGATCCCTGTTACAGCTGCAAAAATCAGACAGAAAAGCACGATAAAACAGAGACAAAGGATTCACATTTTAGTTGTCGTATGCGTAATTTGATTTGGAAAGTCAATTGGGCTCAGATTTAATCAATTGGATTGAAATTGAGCCTGAATCGGACTTGATTTGGGTCGATTGGAATTCAATTTGGCTGAACTCGAATTGACGCCGATTTGAGTTGAATTAGGTTTGACGGGTTCGATTTAATTCGATCAAGTCAATTTGGTGAAATTGGACTCGAATTGAATTGATTTGATTGAGCTTAATTGGACTGAATTTGTGTCCAATTTGAGTCGATTTAGGTTTGACGGGGCTTAATTAGGTGGATTGGGTTCAATCAGGTCTGATCGGGTTGACACTAAAATTGTGTCAACAATAATTTATGGACTGTATGAAGTGATTATGATGCTGGATTTAGATAAAATGGTTCGTGTAGCAATCACTGATGTTTTGTTGATGTGCAAAATTGCATCAACATAGATTGAGATTGGATACCCACCCAATTTTAGGCCTCCTAGTATTATTCACAAACTGAATTTTACATAAAAGAATATTTGTGCTCCAAAGACTATAGAAGATAATGAGATCACTATGAAGAATGCAGTTGGATCATTGACATTGTCGGAGATGCCAACCTTATAAATACCTTTATCATGAATCACTTGATGGGATTGTCTCCAATGAGTTTGTGATGTTGAAAATGTTGAATATTGTAGAGATTCATTTTGCATAAAAAATCATTATGATTAGATCATTTAAAATAATAAATCAAGGATTACAGACAATCGTGATTAATGACATGTATGGCTTGCATTGCGAAGATGATGTAGATAAAGCAAAGTTTGTGAAAGAAAAAATATTGGATGATCTGTGGTTTGATAAAATTAATTATATTATATAATTTATTGCTTTTACGATGCCTATATTATATGTTAAGAGTAGCTTATATAGATAAGCTTTATCTCCATCTTGTGTATGACATGTGGGATTGTTTGATAAAGAAGGTGAAAATGATCATATGTCGACATAAGAGAAATAGAGACATTAAGGTCTCTCCACCTTTTGAAGGTGGTTTATAACATTTCTTGTTCAAAAATGAAACAAAAGCAGTACTTTCCTTCACTGTTTAGCTCTCTCTTAATCCAATATAGCATTTTATTTTCTTACTATTAGCTTGCCTTATTTCATAATTAGTAATTTCACTTATTAGATGCATTTTTTACTAGTTATTAAAACCATTCTTGGTTAAATGAAGCCCAAATTGTGTTGCTCCACTGAAAAACATATATCAAATGAGAGGAACAAATGCTTGAAGAGAAAATTTTCAAATATTAAAGATATATCAATGGTTAATTTGGAATTTGTCAACTTCTTTGGATTTGATGGTGCTTTGGCTAGTCATGACTGCATAGCATTTAGAGGCATTTTGAATGGAAAGGTTTAATGTGGACCGCTTAAAGATTGGGATATTGATCTCTCAATAAAAATACATATTACATAAACTAAATGAGGTTTGTGGGATGCAAGCCCTTAAAAGTTCCAATTGACTACTACTACAAATTTGGAGAGGCTAGCAACAATCCTGAAGTTGACAAAGGGAGGTATCAAAGATTAATCGATGGGCTTATCTTTCTTGCCCACAGAAGATTAGACATAGCCTTGGCTGTAATTGTTCCAAGTTATTTTTTGCATAATCCTAGAAAACACACCTACAAGCAACATATAAAACTTTTCAACTCCCCAAAGCAACATCGGGAACCAGAATCTTGTATAAAAGAAATAAAAGGCTCAGCCTAAAAGTACACAGATGCTGATTTATTTGAATTTTTCACAGATAAAAGGTGGACCACTAGATTTACATTTCATGGGTAGAAATCTCCAGCTCTTCGCAATCCTCTTGCAAAGAGCTAAAAAAATCGTACTAAGATTTCACATAATTTTTACGTAGTCAATTTGATATCATTAGAGAATCATGTCGTACCATTAAAATGATTCGGATCAGATAGACAGTCAAATGGTGCGGGCCATTAAGTCTAACCTCTTTGACTTTGGTGGCAAAGCAGTGGGCAGTATGAATTTAAATGCTATATTTCTTCCTTGATAATTTTGAATCTAGTATTAATGTATTACTGAGATATTTGATGAATTGTGACTTTTGCTGTGGTTTGATACAGGAATTGTCTCCACATTACAGCAAATGTGGATATTCAATTAGCCTGCACAAGCAGAAGTTTTATCATTGTTTACTTATTACCGGTATCGATGTGATTGTTTTGTTAAGGAGGTTTTACTTGAATAAATTATTGGAAGGTTGATAATGTGTTGACAGGCCCCAGTAATGTAAAAATGAAAAAAAAAATTCAGTGTAGATATATATATGTAGAAAGAAAATCTAGGTGTTTTAAATCATCATATGCCGCAATAAATTGAATGATATTTTTTATGTTTGTTTCTCCCCAAAATATCTTTTTATCAATGGATTATAGAATTGTTTCAATTTAATGTTGCAGGCAACAGATAGAGTAATTCTGATATTGATTCTGGCAGCTCTCTCTCTTGTTTTTCTCCCAGTCAAGCTCTTCCTTTTAATGATATTTTTGGAGATTTTCACAAGGTATTCCCCTCCTAGGAGAGCTAGCACAGAGAGATGGACTAGAAGATTTAGAGAATGGTGGTTCAGTATACCTGCAGCTCCTGTAGTTCTTGAAAGAGATAAAGAAGATAAAAAGAAAAGGTAATTATGATGTATATTATGGTTCATTTTCATGCCCCCACTTTCTCTCATTGTTGTATATATGAAATGATATTCTCTCTCTTTATTAAAAAAACACATTATTACAGAGTAATATAAGAAGGGAAGTTTTGTGGGTTGTACACTAGAAATTATAAATGCTGTTTATACTTTTGTCCAATGTGCATAAAAGTTTCTCCTGTTGGAAGCATTAAATGGTAGAATGGTTTCAATGAGTAAGAATATTTCTTCTTCATCTCCATGATTGATAGATATGATTGTGTTTACGTTTATGATTTAATTTATAATCTTGATTAACCCATGTTTGAAATAATGTGGTGAAATGACTGAGGCTTTGTTTGTGACCGTTTTCTTTCTGCTTTCTAAAGCAACTTTTTAATACAAAAAATTTTACATAAAAAATTTATGTATTAAAAAGCTTCTTTAGAAAACAATAGAAAAATTGTCTCAAACGAAACTTAAGTTGGGGGTTACAGTAACTATGGTTTTATTATTACTTATTGTATCTTTGCTATCTAGAAATGGGAAAGAAGGCTACAGTTTATAGATTACTTTTTTTTATTATTATTATTTTTTAATTTTTTAACTAAAAGATTACTTTTAAAAGCAGTAAAAATGCTGTTTAAAATGAAGCCTCAAGTGTTTGATTTTGCCGCAGACAAATGAGTTCACCAGGGTTTTTGCTAGTGTATTATTCATGATCTAATTGTTATAATTTTAATATAAAATTAATTTAAAATTAAAAAAATATTGTTATATAATATTAATTTGAATTAATTATTAAATATATTTTAATTTGTTGAGCAGAGCTTCTGAAATGAATCAGGCTCGAGCTTGTTTAATATAAGAGATTGAGTATAGGCTTAAGCTCGAATTTGTGGCTTGATAAACTTGACTGGGAGCTTGTTAACGAGTTAAACTTGAGCCGGCTTGGCTCATTGAAACCCCTACTTTTTTCTCGCATGCTTTAAAAACTTAGCCATTTCCTCTTTTTTAATTTATATAAAACACATAAAAAAAAAATACTTTCTTAATATTTCATTATTTTTTGGAAATATAATTTAAAATATAATTAATTAAGTAGTTCAGAAATTTGGATTAATACTAATTAAAGATTGCATGGCTGGTACAGACCACAGCATTAGCAAGCATGTTTTGCACAAATTCCTCATGGTTTCTAAAGTTAACAGAGATTAGTTGGACATGTGAGCAATTAGCAATTGATATGTTTAAGCTTCACTGGAATTTTAAAGTCTTAATTTTTTTGGGATAGTTTTAGACCATTACCTTTTTTAGCTTTCAAAAAATTTTTGTATTAAAAAGCAGCTTTATGAAACAGTAAAAGATTGGAGTGATATTTCTGATTTGATTTAGAGATTTGAGTGTTGCAAGTAAATATAGGAATTAAAGTGTTAAGTATGTAAATATATACGAATTTTGAAAATACACATACTTGTTACAAAGCAATCACTTCAATTTAATCACTTGGTATTTGCCATATGACCACATCTCTCTAACATGCTCATAATGATCAAAGTTGATCAAGAGATCAACTGACTTATCAAGAAGCTAGAGATATATTTTGAGAGGTCTACAATACTGATAAGAGGAATACCAATATGATTGATATATTGTTGAAAATGATCTCTTGAAGGTGGGAAGAATTGATGAGGCTGAAAGAAACTTATAAGAGGTCTCTAGAATACTTTAGCCTAAGAGTTGAGTGACTTTATGATAAAAAAGAATTTTCAAGTAGTTATAATGCCAGTCTGATGCTATTTATTGAAAGTTAATGCTGTCTCCTTATAAATTTCTCATGTTTAGCTCATGATTTAGTGTAATAATCATTTTTCCTTTTATCATAACGAACATTCTTACATATCTAAAAGTAATGTCGTAGGATAATGGAGGGAGCACTACAAACAATGGAAATCCTCCTGAAATTTCCATTTTTCGCCGAATTTCTGACGAAAATCCATTCAACGGTAATTTGCACATCCAAAAATATAAACGGTGAAATTTTTTCGCTGGAAATGTTTCATGTGGAGTTTCTAGCACAATTCTGACGAAAAAAATGATGGTTATACGTCGATTTCCCTAGACGAATTACGACATTTTATTCGCCAATATTTAAGGCGGAAAAGTTGAGCCGGAAGTACTGGCGGATAATCTGCCGCCCTGATTTGTCAAACTACTATCAGCTGATAGGATAGGCGAATAATCCGCTGGAATTATCGGCATAAAAGATCGCTGGAAACATGAAATTCATTTCGTTGTATCGTATTTCCAACAGATATTATGCCAGAAACCTGTAGCATAAACAAAAAAAACCCTTCCCTCTTAAGAAATTGATTTCTATAATACAACATGCATACAAAAGTTTCAATACTATATACATTCAAACATAATTCTCTAATCAAAGTCATCACCAAATATTGAACATAAACGTATAAAAATAAATAAAAACAAGACGAATACCATCAACAAAATGTTTAAACTATACAAATGTACAAAAACAAATAAGTGCTGATGTTTAATAAACAAATAAGTACAGATGTCCAAAAACAAATAAGTACAAATGTCCATAAGAAACTACACAACATCTAATCTAAATTAGTCTCCTCCTCTGCTGAAGCTACATTCTTTCCACTGAATCGCTCACTCATTTTTCACATTTCATCGAACAATAAGTTTTCTGCATCTGCATCTGCCAGTTAGCTTGTGCTTTCTTGACCTGCTCTAACTTGGCTATAAGGGCAGCCTACCTATTAGCTATATAAGGACTCCTAGGTACTTGCTAAGAAGTTGGAGCCACCAGATATCATGTCCTTCATATGCATAGGCTTGCAAGCCTAAACCATAAACTCTACCATGTTACTTTCATCCTACTGCTTGTGACAAAATATGGTTGTCAAAATATTCTACTAATTTGCTAGAAGAACCTTTACATACTACAACCTCGCTCTCACAAAGTCGTGTATACTCCTCCTATGAAAATTAATAAAAATTTAAGCAAATTAGACATGACATAAAAATAATAAAATTATATACTTATGTAGGCTTTCCTCGCTCGCTCTTCAACCCATTACTGGTCCTCCTACCGCTTGTGGGTATGACTATGAATTTAATAGGGGTTAGTTCACTACCTAACACCTCTTTCTGTAATAGACTTACATTAGTATTCATATTAAAATAAATCATTAAAATCATTTAAAATTCTTTATCAAATGTCTCATGTTCTTAGTATGTGGAATTGAACCCCTAGTATGAAGGGAACTACCCATGCCCCCAACATCAGAAGCTCTATTCTGTCTATTTTAATCCCTCCTATTGTACTCTAGGCCACCCCAAGCACTGTTCAACTCTTCCCATACACTCTCACTAATCCAGAATGGCCGCTCGTCTAATTTTTTATTGTTTGTAAATATATCTCACATCTAAGTCGACTTATGCTTCTCAAAATTCTTTCTAATTTTATCATTGTGCTCGAGTAGCCAACAAAAATCTTTTGCATTTAAAAACATAAATATATAAAATATATATTTTTGTTAGCTTAAGTAAAAAAGATATAATATAGAACATATTTGTATAATAACTAACCTCAAACTCTCTAAATCACATGTCCCACACTTCTTTTGAGACTTTCTTCCAAGAAATATAAGGAGCATCATACACGCTCTATATTATGTCCAATATTTTATGTGTTGGTTGTTTTGATGGGTGAAGCCTGCAAAAAATTTGTTAGGTGAGAAAAATATTTATTCAAATTTAGTTGCATGTTAAAAATATAATAAGTACGTACATGTCACCATCAGGTTCAATCAACATGTGACCCTCTGTCTCCTGCTTTGCTGTAGCTGGGGTGGAAGATCCACTTATGGCTAGTTGATGGGGTGGTGGGGGATAGTATGGAGGGATATATTATGGATATGAACAAGTAGGAGGGCCACCATTATAAGGTGTGGGTGGTTAGTAAGGGTAGAAAGGAGTACTCTGTGTGATGTTTAACGAAGAAAAGCAGAGATCTGGTGAGTAGAACTATGAGCTACTGGCTATAGGAGTTGGTAAAGGAGGGCTAGGCTGACTTTAAGTGTCAGTCTGAGATGAAGAGGTACCCTCAATACATACAGACCTACTGGGTGGCCCACGAGTTGTTTTATTGTTGCGTCTACCAAAAAGTTTTTGATCAATCCTTGTGACACTCACCACTTGAAGCCATTTATAAAATTTTTTTAAGAAATATTAGTAACATAAATTATATCAAAAAATTATCATAAAATAACACAGCAATTAAATAAATGAAGTTGAGCAACAATAAAATAAATAAACAAACTATTGTCATGCTGTTTAAATAAATCATATTGTTAAGATAAATTATTGATTCACAAATGATTGTAAAAAATTATTTACCTTATATTGATTCACTTTCATATGATGAAATAACTGCACAACTATTAAATTCTTCATGATTTTCCTCTATGTTTAAATCTATTTCCTATAATTTCAACTCATTCTCATTAGTTGTAATTTGATTGTCCACATCGTTAGCAAGATATTTTAAGTTTTATACAAACTTTTCTTGATGTGCTAATGGTATTGATGCCGTTTTCTCAATTACTCCCCTAGGATTGATCTTTAGAACTATGAGCCAATCTTATTTGCCTTGTAATCTACTCGGATAGTTAGCAAAATAGATTTGGCTTGCATGTAATGATGAATGAGTCAAACTTTATATATCTCCTACCTCGCTTAACTTCTATTATACCATAAAGCAGATGTATTCTTATACCTTTATTCTGTTATGGATCAAACTAATCATAATTGAATAAATATACATTATTCCCATGACTAGGATATTCCAACTATAATATTTCTTCTAATATCTTGTAGTACTTAGAATCATAACCTATATGGATGTTTCCTCTTACATATACACAAGACTTATCTGTCTTCCTACCTTCACACCAAAATTTTGCTTGGAATTTGTACCCATTAATCAAAAGAAATGGACAACATTTCGCTACTTTATTTGGTTTCCAAGCTAGATCAAGTATCCCTTGATACTATAAATCACTGCATTAAATATGCACCTAATTAATAGATAAAGTATATTATTAACATATTTATAGACAATAATGTTAACTAAATAAGAAAAATTAGTTGAAATGAATAGTTAAAATATATACCATA